TCTCAGATGTTCTAGTCTAATTTTGATTGGAAGTGTGAACCACGTGACACTCAGTTTCCTTTCAAATGAGTCAAACTTAAAAATAATTTAACAAAACATGAGTTCATGTAACTCAAGTGAGGTAAACTGCTTTCTTTGAATAATCTGTACTTTAATGTCTCCATAATAACTTCTTATGGTGAATTTTCAAGTAAAATGAGCATCTAAGTTTGCACAAAGTCAATTTTAGCTTTGAAGAAATGTTTGGGAGGTGGGGAGCACACTAAGCAATTTGCACAACACCTTCTTTTCAAGAACAAATCCTGTTTAGAATTATTATGTCAAATGATTCCACAGAATTTAATTGTTCTTTTGTTTCTCATACAAAGAGTGTAACAAAAAGTGCATTGTTTATTTAATTGTCCTTTTCACTTGGGAATCGGTTCACTAAATTTCCGCATACAATTTTGAAGGGCACTAATTAAATAATGTCTTCCTTTTCTTTGGGTGCTCCTTTGGAGGAGGAGGAGATGCCCACATACCATAATACTTAACTACATTCATACCCAGCGACAGAGGTTTCTGTGCCAAATTCTTCATATTGCCACATACCCACTTAGTAATAACCAGTAAAATGTTTTCCTATAGGTTATGCCACAAAGTACTGCTCTGTTGGTGGGTTGTGTGAAGTAGTGGGGGGCCATCTGATAAAGCAAAACTCTCTGTTTTATCACTGTCTGATGTAGTTGTAATGCAAGAGATCAGTTGTACTAAAAGATATGCTCGACAACACTTTTTGTGTTGTTGGCACCATCATATTTATTCTTCAGTTATGTGTGAGAGATCTCCACAAAAGGGAGGGGAGCAAAACCCCCATTATATAAATAATTTGATCCTATATGAAACAATGTCAGTTACTTCAAGAGCATTGTTTGGTAGTGTAAAAGCTAAGGCTACACCTCCTGCGTGTTTTTGAAGAGTGTTTATACTACTCTAAGTTCAGGAATTCTGTACCACTGAACAGCATTTGGAGCAGAGTTTTCTTTCTAAAACCCATTTTCTTTCTAAAAATTGAATTTTCTGAAGTTCAGTAGGTAATACTGTATGTATCAAGTATTGCATTAAGTAAGATTAATACTTAATGCAAATCTAAAGCAAATTCCTGGAACAATTTTTTTTTTTTTTTGTGCAGGCATGTATCAAGTTTATGAAAGGAAATTTATTTATTTTTTTTAAATTTTCCATTTTCCAGATTCTGGGCAACAACAGCCAAGTTCAGTTGGAAATCAGTCCCACTCTGCCTCAGATCCTGGGCCAATCAGAGCCACTGCACCAATGTGGCGATGCAGCAGAATTATGCATATGCAGCGAGAATTACATCCAACACTTTTGTCTTCTCTGGAAGGCATTGTAGATCAGATGGTCTGGTTCAGAGAGAATTGGCATGAAGAGGTATTTGGCTTTAATACACCTTCGTATGTATGATTCATCTAAGGAAAAGTTAGCTGCAAAATACTTATCTAGAATTATTTTTAAACATTAAAACATAACTATTTGTTTTGATTAGTAAACTGATGTATTTGTAGAAGTGATCGTTCTGATTGGAGTTTTAAGGAGCTTGGTTATTTCTGGAAGCAATACAGAGGTTTCCCAAAATTATTAACTTGAAGAATGCCTCTGGATTTAAGCTGTTGCTTGTACTAACTGAAAACTTATATTCTTAAAATAAGTTTCACAGATACCAGTTTCCTTCTTGATCTGGAGGTCTGTGACAGGTGGTAATTATTGTCCAAAGGTTGAATTATAACAGAGAGCAGATGGACAAGCCACTCCACTTTTATTTGCCTCTCAAAGTGTCAGGCTATTCTTTTCTCTGTACCTAGCGTGGTGTTTGTTTGAAGAAGGATTCCTCATATCACATAATTTTCTAATATATCACAAAATACGAAATCTAAAACTTAGCTGCTGTTGAAGGAGCAAGGTGTACTTTGTGATGCAGCATTTCCACTGCTCAGTTTGTTCATTTGCAGTGCTAATAAGAATCAGTGCTGTCATTCTCATTGATCCTCTGATGCAATTCAAAAATACAGTTTCAAATAAATGTTTCTGAGAGGATTAACTTTACTTTATAAAATGCAATGTGGGAATAAAACTTAGTGTCAAATCAGAAGGCCTAATCTTCCTGACTATTGTGTCTTTTTTTTTTTTTTTTTTAAATCTTTAGGTTCTTAGACAACTGCAGCAGGGCTTGGCGAAGTGCTATTCAGTTGCCTTTGAGAAAAGTGGAGCTGTTTCAGATGCCAAAATCACTCCTCATACACTAAATTTTGTCAAGAAGTTAGTCAGCACTTTTGGAGTAGGTCTTGAGAATGTCTCTAATGTATCCACCATGTTTTCTAGTGCAGCCTCAGAGTCACTAGCTAGGAGAGCACAGGCAACAGCTCAAGATCCCGTGTTCCAGAAGTTAAAAGGGCAATTTACAACAGGTAAATGTTTAAAATGTTTTTTTTAAATGTTACCTTTAATCTCCAGAGAAATCCACCCCCCCACCCCCGAAGTTCAATTGTGAAGGCATTCTGCTTTTTTATTCTTCTTTCAATATTTTTCCTGAGAGAAAATATAGAAAAACAGCACCTTTCTTTCATTCAAAAAACCTGAAATAGTTTGTCTGTTCTGGTGTTGGAACTTAGTTGGAACTACTCCACTTACTGTGGAGTAATATGCTGTGGATAATTGAAGTGAAAAACAGACCTCAACATAGAGAATGAGTATATTGTTGTATTTTTGTTACCTAAAACTTTGGTCAAATCACATCTGTGTTTAAAGGTAAATTAGATTACTTCACTATAATATTTTTGCAGTTCCTGTAGAACTGCCTGCTATAGAGGAGGGACAATAATGATCTCTATTTTACGGTGATGCCAAAATTTAATGAAATTTTCACCCCAGAACTCTGAACTGTCAATAGTATATAAAGTCTTCCAAAACAGCCTACTTCTGCTGAGTAAGATTACTTTAGTGTTTTGGATAACAGGATTGTAAAAATCCTACTACACAAATTTACATCACTGTTAGGTAAACTGAATCAATAACCTTAATCAGATCTAGTAAAAAAGATACTTAAGGGAAGTAAGCTGTTTTGCTTCATTCATTTTTTCTTTATCAGTGGAGTTGCATGATATTGATTTAAAATTCTAAGAAAAGCTTGTGTACAGTAGAATGTGGTTTTGATATATTTGGTGAAAAGTGTTAAGGCCAGGCAGTTTGAGTTTTTGTGTAAATTCCTATCTAAACTACATCAGCTTTTCCTTAAAGATAACTGTAGAATTAGATGAAAATGAATAGTTATAGATGTTGGTTGTTTTAACAGAAGAATTAAAACTTATTAGTTGTTCAAAATTGGAAAGATAGGATTTTTGTGAAGATTTGGGGTTTCATCTTTTTTGAATCTCCTTTTCTCTTTACCCTACTGGGACTCAGATGATTCTGGCATGAGTTAAAACTCTATCATCTTAGCTTTTATAATGATTTAAAAAACACCCCCTTTCCACATCAAGCTGGTTCCTCTGCAAAAGTGAGTCTTGCATTGAAAAGTTACTCTTTCTAGAATTCTAAATTACGTAAAGTTGGCCTTAACTTAAAATTGTTTGAGGTCAGCACAGCTACTGAGCATTTACAGAGTTTGACAAGTAGACTTGTGTTTTTTCAAGCATTTTACTGATAATGCTGTGAAAATAAGTGAACTGGTGGGAACCTTGTGAAAGTAACTCAGTTGTAGGTATGACCTATATATCTTGTGCACGCTATGTATTGCATGATGTCCTTTTTGAGACACAACACTTGCATGACAGCAGACAATGAAAGTCCTGAACCATATGATTAAATTTTTAATGGATAGAGTGTACTAGGGAGGGAAATGGAAGTAGAAACATTTTGTGTGTCTTTGACGGAAGCTTACAGCGGAAATAAATACATTTAGTACAAGTTTAGATTTTTTTTTCATTTTCAATAATGGTTTATATATCTTTACATTGCAATAATAGTATAGTCTCTTTTTTATTGCTGTAAGTGTTGATATGCTCAGATTTTGTTGGTTTTGAGTTATTTTTGGTCTGTCATAGTACCTCTTAGTTTCTTTCCTTTGAGTGTTAGAGAGATCTGGGGTTTCAGAAGGTGTAAAGGAAAACTTCAATACAACACCAGGCTCATGTCTGCAAAATCTAAACTAATGTTTTAGCACATTTCTAGAAGAAACAACTAAGAATAATTAAAATTCAGTTACAGTTTTCAGTTAAAATAAAAAATAGAGAGGATTTTCAGTTTTTATATGCTGTTGTGTATTTTTTGCATGTCTTTATGATACATAAATGGCATTTAAAGTTTTCAGGTTTGCTATCTAATCATATAATTTACAAAGAATTATATGGAACAACATATAAAACAAAGAACAACAACATAGGCTTGGACATAAATCATGTAAAGTCATAAAAGGCGTAGTGTTTCTTAGTAAACTTCTGTTTAATAATAAGCAATTACTTTCTGTATTTTTTTGTTGAAGAGTTCATGTTTTATTTTTCAAGTATGATTAAACATGAATGTCTACAGGATTAAAATAATTATTTTGCTTAGTACTGGATTTGATTTTATTTTAATCTAATAAATTCAGTGTTTTAATTCACAAATGAAGTGTGGGAAAACAGAAGAAATTAAACTGATCAATATACTTATGCATTTTAGTAATTTAATTCATTATGCAGAAAATGAAAATAAGTTTTTTATTAATTTTGCCATAGCAGTAAAATGTACATAAATTAATAGGGTTGTAATTACTGTACTAAAGATAGCAAAGGCTGTTTTAACATTATGAGAAACCATTTGTAAGTCATGCCTACTTTGTCCTTTTGTCACACTAGAATGTTCATGTTTGTTTTCCTGATTCTCAGTACCAGTTGCATTTAGATGATGGACAGATAATTACAGTGGTTGCCTTCCATTTCAAAGTATCCAAGCTGAGGAGCTGTCTTGGCGTAAACTGTTTTCTTCAGTTATTTCCAGATTAATGTTGACAGCTATGTTTTATAGACACTTTCAACTATGGTTGCATAATCTCTTCCACCAACGTCTTGAGTTGCATCTTGATGCCTGTTTGGAGCCGCTGGGGACTCTCACACCATTTCTTACATTCTAAATGCTTTGTCTGCAGCCATCTGGACCACTGGAGCTTTGATAGGTCATCTTTTTCCATCCTAACGTATCTTTTAGAACCAAATTTTTCTTTGAATTTTTTTTCCTGGAACTTCAAATGCATAGTTCTTTGACCATCTGTTCTTTGTTCCTTCTCTCCTTTTCTGCTGAGCCTTTGACATCAAAGAACAGGCAAATGCTGAGAAATGCTCCCTTTGAGAGCTCTCTCAGCAGTGAAAGGAGGAGAAAAACTGCCTCAATTGTTCTTTTGTGGGCAGATGATAGTTTAGAGTTTGGATTCTGCTTCTTTCTGCAACTATCTCTGCACTGAAGCTGAATACAAATGGAAAATTCCAAAATATACCCTTAAAGGGCAAGATAATTTTCTTGAGAGTTTTGGCACCCAGCACAATGAATTCTCTATTGCGAATGGAAACTGTATAATCAGAAGGAAGCTTCTTGAAGTCCTACTGTTTCTCTGAAGTGTGGGGAGAGGGCAGAGGGAAGAGCTCTGTTATTAATTTTAAGCTTTTTTAAGGTTTTTTGTTTGTGGGTTTTGGGGTGGTTTTTTTCCCCCTTTTCTCAAGAGTGAGCATAGCATCACTTGGGTAGCTCTTTCTTTACTTCTGTTCAAAGTTTTAGATAACAGGATGTTATCCAGAAAGTCTAGATCAAGAGATTGGAGTTAGTATCATATTTGACCTTGGTCTGGTCTTTACAGTCTTGGTTTTCTAGAGCTGAGTGATAAACCAGAATTCCTGCTTCATATTTCTGCTTACCTGTCACTGAGCTTTTTCATGCTTGTTGGTGCTTTCCAAAAGTTCTTGTGGGATTAAAAAGAACATTTGGGAAGTGCAGAGTATATAAATGTCTGAATAATAACTTCAAAAGCAAGACAGCTCTTTTCTCTTGGAGAACGCTTTTATCTTCTTCAGTATCATATGTATAAAGGATTTGAACTGCTCGGCGAACCTAAGCTTACATTTCAGTCCTAAATGTCACCCATCTTACATGATGGGTGTCCTGGCTCTTTAGTTGAAGATCCTTGGGTCATGAACATCAAGTATAATCAGGCTTTGTCTATGGTCAGAATAATCTTTAAAATCTTGCAGATGAAATACTGCTTGGTCTAAAAGCATTAATTGTCTGTTACTTTTAACTGATTAGAACTATTTTCTGCCAGTGTAGCAGAAGGGTTTTTTTAGTTGTTAAGTCTTAGTTTGGAGGCGTTTTCTTTGTTTGCTTTTTAGTGCTATGTTAATGTTCTGTAGGTCAAGGGTTTTGGGGGGACAGGGAGTTTGGTACTCTAACTCAAACGTATTCTTTTTTTTGTGTTGCTTCATGAGAACTGATGGTACAGCTCTCATTCAAAAAGTATTAAGCTTTGTCTAGTTGTGCTAAGAACCATCAGGATTTTTTAGGTTTGTCTCACTGGCAGGAAGATTGTGCCCCATTTGTCCTTCCATTGAGAGTGGTAAGAACTTGCCAGTTATACTGGGTTGGATGGATTCAGGTAGCAATTTCTGAGGCATTCAAGACTTTGAATGAACATGTTTGTTTGAAATACATATATCACACTAAAATCTTTAGCAGTATTGAGAACAGAGAGCAAGCTTCTTCAGTTGCAGTCTGTATCATGGTCTTCTGGGAATATCTCTGTTAAAGATGAGGGGGTAACCTTCCTACTCTGTTTAGCAAAAGATTGTCTAAGTAGTAAGGTATTTTAGACCAGCATGTGTTAGCTTGAGAAAGGTGTTCTCCAGTAGTAAGTACTGAAAAAGTGGATTCATTTGGAACAAAAATACCACTTATATAGATTAAGATGTCTGCAAAGCAGACTTTGTACACAAATAATGTCTGGGCTTGTATTTCCCTTTCTTCCCGTTGAAGTGATTTTTCTTCTCAGACTAATTAAACTCTCTGTTTTTCCCATCTGCCACTGGGAAACAAAACAACAAAAATCCTAAAATAGGCATTTCAACAAACTAGAGCTATTCTTGTGGTGAACTGAATGACTTTTTTTTTTTTTGTAAGGAATATATATTGATGCATATTTTTACGACTTTAGTGATTCACATTAGCACAAAAACTAGTTGTAATTTGGGGATACTTTCTGGCACTTCAGGGATTCAGGAGCTAAATGATTCAATGATTTTGTCATTCTTCATGAAATGATTTACTCCCACTGCTCACTAGAGGGTAGGCTTGGGATTATAAATAGGAGTGTTTTACAGTGATAGTGCTATAGAGGCACTACCCATACCAGGTAGAAAAAGAAAAGGGAGTATTACAGAGTTACACTGATTTCTAACATCCATAAATATGAACCTGTATTTTTGATTATAGACTTTTTTCTTATAGAAGTGGAAAGGATTTTATATGTGCTGGTTTTTTACTCCATTTTGGGCTAATAGACTTAAAACTTTCACTGAAAGCTTTTAGCATATCAGTATATTATGGATACACAATGTAATATGTTGGGTTATGTGTTCTATGATATTCTGTTTGAGTAACAGAATAGCAAAATGAAAGGAGTCCTATGTTGCATTATTTTATTTGGTAATAGTATCCTCTACACGTAAAGAAGAGAACTTGGAGAGCAAGAGTGTACGTGTAGAATTATATTAACTCTTCTGGCTAAAAGAACAAATGTTCTGACCTTGTTTGTAGGAGTAAGTGTTGTGGATAATCAGAGTTTTCACTGCTTTTAATTGTGGTTAAGAAAAACTTTTATATGCAGTAATAGCTGTGTACATGTACTTAATTCACTCTTAGCATAGTTGCAGATAGATGCTTGTAGCGTATTATTGTGGTCAAATTAATTTCCCCTCTGAGCAGCACTCATGATGGTTTTGGTTTGGGTTTTGGTTTTTGTCAACTTAGGAAAATATCATCTGTATGTAACATACTGAAATGTAGATTCTGCAATAAGATTCAAACTCATTTTTGGGACTGTTAATTTTCTGTTGTATTGAACCATAATGAAGAGTCTTTAGCTTTAAATCTCAGAAATACTGAATTGACATTCTGTTTCATTCTTGCTGTTGCTTTTTAACTTGTAACATGTTGAACTTAAAATGGCATCATTTAGACTGTTACAGAAATGCTTTTTAAAAATTCAAGTCTGTTAACTTGCGGAATTTGGGATGTCATAACAAATGAGGTTTACAGAGAGAGCACTTTATCTTCTTATCCGATTGTGTTTAATCTCTCATTCTTGTGATACTGAAGTGCTGGACCATAATTTCATGTGTATGTGATTTATTCTTTTTCCCACTTTTGGGAAATTCAAACACATTCATTCATTCATTCATTTATTTACTGTGTTCTGAAACTGTAGTGAAAGCAGTGTTGAGAAGATGGCATTGATGTTGGCCCAGAAAATGGTTGATATTGCAGTGATTTCTGTTACAGAATTATCTGCACAGTGTATTGAAGACCACGTATTGACCTTGAGAAAGTTCTGGCTTCACTTGCATGTGGGCTGGAGGAGATAGTTCCATGCTGCAATACTGTTACGTTGCAAAGCAAAGAGCAGGCTGTTTGCATAATATTGTCATTTTTGCTTAGGCTGTCATATCTGTTCTTCCTGTGGTGGCATGCAATTTTTATCTATGCCAGGAAAGAATAAAAAGTGTTTTCTTGCAGCTCAGAATAGGAGAATAATAGTAATAGCAATTTTACTACTTGTCCTGCAGTTGCTCACAGATTCTACATTGTATCCTCAGCTGAGGCTCTTTCATCCCTTTTAAGAGTAAAAAGCCTCCACTGATTTTAAATAAATAAATCACTTTTAATAAAACAGGCAGAAAATTATAGTGCTAGACTGTGAAATAAGCTTACTTTTCCTCTTTCACTAAATGATCTATCTAGTCTAATCAATTGGTTTATTACTGCTTGCTTTCTATGCAGTCTGTCTGGTTGCAGTAAATAGTTAAATACAGTAACAGTATTTAACAGTTTTCACAGTATGTTTCTCTAATGTTTGCATGACTGTAAAACAGGAAAATCTTGGGAAGTTTGTTATTTACTCAATAATAGAGAATATTTTAGAGCTGTGTACAGGAAAGAGGTAGCAGATTCTGACAGGTTTGTTTATATATAATTGTAGGACTTCACTAAAAGACTTTCTGTAGAGATGACATATTCAACAGAGCCTGCCTTTTAAAGGCAGTACAGCTCTATGTGTGTGTTTGGTTTGCACTACTGAATTGTATGATTTGCTCTCCTCCAGCATCTACTGTTGTCCTGATATTGCTGTTGTATGATCCTATATCAATTATGCTCTGACTCTTCCTTAATTATTCTTGTGTCTCTTTGGTGTTTGTCTGAACCTACTAGTTTTCCTTTGTGTTTAGGGTTCATAGGTAGCCATGTTTCTCTGCTGGACTTGCTTGGTAGTATGCTTTCTTTTTTTTTTTTTTTTTTGTGCGAGTTGCTGATTGTAGTAGCTTTCCATTTTACTATCGTATTCGAGACCAGTGTGATGCTTTTGTACATAACAGGTATGGTGTTGTATGTGGGTCTTTGCTTGAGGCCATGTGGCTGAAAGAACCTCTTTGAAAATGCAAACTTCAGACACTTGATAGTTAAATACCCTGTATAAAATTTGAAATGTTGAGGATGTTTTGTTTTGTTTTGTTTTTTTTTTTCTTTTAGACTTTGACTTCAGTGTGCCAGGGTCAATGAAACTTCACAATCTTATCTCTAAACTGAAGAAATGGATCAAAATTCTGGAGGCAAAAACTAAACAGCTTCCAAAGTTCTTCCTCATAGAGGAAAAGTGCCGCTTTCTAAGTAATTTTTCAGCTCAGACTGCAGAAGTAGAGATACCTGGAGAATTCCTTATGCCAAAGCCAACACATTACTACATCAAGATAGCAAGGTAACCTAAAAATACCCTTTGGTAGTTGTAATTCTGAAAACAGAGAAGAAAATGAAAGCCTCCTCCATTCGTCCACTCTGCAAAAGCAGATGTTGTGTACATTTCATATATTTAAATTACATATATAGAGTCATACTTTGGTATAACACCTTTATTTTTTTATTTTATCCTCCTCTGGTAATTTTATATTGCCTCACTAAGCAACTGTACTCTTACATGAAGAGTATATTTGGTTTTCTTCTATGTTGATACAAGTTGAGATTAGTTCTTCTGTTGTAGTCAATAGAGGTACCTTTCTTCAAAATATTGATAAAGGTCTGATCTAATGATTAATTCTGCTCAAGAACTGTGTTCTCTTAAATAAAGAAATCAAACAGAAGAGCTTTTTGACTATAAAATACAAACCATGGCCTAGCTCGATAATAGAATTTGTACCTTGTAATACAGTTGTGCTGCCTTATTTTTTTGGTGGTGGGTTTTTTTGGTTTTTTTGTGTTCTGCAGGGGGGTTTTTTCTTGTTTGTTTTTTTGGTGGTGGTTTGTGATTTAATATTGGAGGAGATTAGCACAAGTGCTTTAATATCCCTTTCTTTCTGATAGGTTTATGCCCAGAGTGGAGATAGTTCAGAAACACAATACTGCAGCTAGAAGACTCTATATCCGAGGCCATAATGGAAAGATTTACCCATATCTAGTAATGAATGATGCTTGCTTGACAGAGTCTCGTAGAGAAGAGCGGGTGTTACAACTTCTTCGCCTTTTGAACCCCTGCTTAGAGAAAAGGAAGGAAACCACAAAAAGACATTTGTTTTTTACAGGTACTGAAAAGAGAGATTTTATGTTATTTCTAAATATATGTTATACTCAAAGGTTATAATTGCTAAAGTTTTTGACAGCTACTAATCATTGATACTGAAGTTTTTGAATATTTAGAAGGTGAATTCACATTTGTCTACGTGATTAGTCTTTTCTGGCATTGTAGCACCCCTCTGAAGAAGTAAAGTTGATTACATGTGATCTAGGGTGTTTTTAGAAGAGCTTACATGCATCGTTTATGGTATAAAGTTCAGTTGTGAGTAACGTATTTAAGGCAGAGGCATGGCCATTGGATCTGTTGCTATGGAAATGGATGCATGTACTTCAGAACAAATATTTAGAGACAGTTGGGGAGGGACAGAACAAAGCTTTTTCTCCCCAAGTTGCAATATATGAATATTGAATTTCTTTTACCTCTTCCACATAACACAGAAGAAGAATTAATTGTTTTGTAGAGCTTTGAATTTGATATATAGTTTCTGAATTCTCTGGTATGAGAACATATCTTTGTAATTTTTGAAGTAACTATATATCCATGGTGGTGTTTACTTTCAGGAATATATACTGACTGGTTAGTTGTTGCCAAATAAAATCCATTCATAATCTAGATATTGGATGCAGGACTTCTGTTGAGCATACTTCTATGATCCTATAAAAGGTTACTTGGTTTGGAGAGTGCACTTTGACAAACAGCACCACGGCAATGCTTAAACATTACAGAATTAACAAACATAATGGTAGGGGGGCCTTAACGAGGAGAGTTAGGGAGGGTTCCAATATGATTTATGTCTATAAATTGCCAGAATACTCGTATATTAAAAAGGTCACATATTTAGCCATTTCAAAACAGAAACAGTGAATGAAGGCTGAACACACAGTCTCAATTCTTTATCTTTCCTTGTGTATCTTGGCTTTTTCATGTGTTGATTATAAACAATTAATTAATGAAATGAGAAACAGAGTATTGGACTCTCGCTTGGCAACATACTCGATCTGCTTGTGACTCAAATACTAACGTAAATGCTTTAAAATAGTTAAACTGTTGTGTTTTCCAGGTATTAAGGCTGTTGGCAAGTTCCAGCTTACAGCTGTGTAGCTACTTCATATTAATATATAAACACTTTTCATTTCAGAGGTCAATGAATCACTTACTAACTTCATATAAATAAGTTCTGTACATTGCATTAGTCAGTTCTAATAATCTCTGGTTGGTGAGCAAGAAATATATTATGGATAAGGGAAACTTCAATGAAAGACACTAAGACAAAGCTGCTACTTTGCTGTTGTCCTTTTAAAAAGTGCTGAAATGTGATTTTAAAAAAAGTGTGGTTTTATCAGTCCTCCTCTTTGAGCTAATAGTATCTATTGACATGAAGGTGCTGTCATGAGCTTAGGTGCCCAGATGATGCAAGTTGCACTTACAGAGCTAGAAATGCATATTTGAGTTCTAACTTTTAAAAAGGCCAAAATGTACAAGCCAAAGGATTTGTTGTTGAAACAAAAGGTAAATATAGCATCTCTACATATGTGAAGACAATTTTGCATCATTCTTAGGCCAAAATAACAGAAATGCAGTAGATAAAGCCTTGGAAGATGATATAAACAAGGCCACTTACAGAAATATATCCTCTATATAATATGATTAGTAAAGTAACATGTTTTGCTTCAAAGAGCTGTTTTAAACTATAGTGTTTCTGGCAATAATTCTGTACCTTCTGGTTTGATACTATTTGAAAGAACCTAAAGAACATTAATTTCTCTGCTGCCGGAGGTTAATGGAAGTGGACCAGAAGAAACAGCTCATTAACACCCCTTCTGCAGAATACATTTTCTCCTTTAAGATTGAAGAAATTCCATCAAACAATTTAAATGCATTTAAACAACTTTTCCTTATATTTCTGAGGTTAATTATTACAGCTTCTGAGGGAAATGATGAAAGAACAGTTTTGGTGGTAACTGGAGGTCGCTGTCAAACAGTACAAATAGTGTCATTGGAAAAGCTAGCTATGGAAGAGGCCTTGGCTTTCTTGATGTGGCTCGGGATGCACATAAGACTGTAGGATGATACATCTGTTGAGCACCATGAAACTACAGATAGGGTTTTTGCAAGTTTACTGTTCATCAAGGAAAAGCTCAGTGGCTTAAGTTTTCTTATTATTGAATATTTTGCCATGTCTTCCCTATGTTATTTTCAAATAGTGTAATTTAAACATCTGTTCCTCAAGTACATTCAGATTTTTTTCCCTCTAGTTTTTCTGAATCACTTTAAATACCCTATTGAGTTTAGTAGTTTTGTTCTTCAGAGTCATTTTTATTGACATAATACCAGTGTCATGTAATCAGATATTACAAACCTGTTTGCATCTGAACAAAGTATTACCATCTTTTCTGCAGGTAAAGAAAAGTAGGAAGAATAATGAGTGCTCAATTTTTTTTGCTAATATAGTTGATGTTTCTGTTAAGATAAAAAAAATCTGCTATCATACTTTCTTTTTAACTGAGCTTGTGAATTAGTTATGAGTGTAGTAATAAAAAATTTTCTCTTGATACACTTCAGTTGATTATCACAGTTGTGTTTTAAGGGCTGATACAAACAGTTCTCTTAGTATTTGGGTTATGGATTAACTGTTTTGTTTTTCTCTCTCTGCCCCTGCCACCATCCTCTCTCACCCTTCTCAAATTACTCCTAGTCCCCCGTGTTGTAGCAGTTTCTCCACAGATGCGTTTGGTTGAAGACAATCCCTCTTCTCAATAAGCAACGCTGTGCCAAGAAAGGCATTGAGCATGACAACCCTATTTCTCGTTACTATGACAGACTGGCAACGGTCCAAGCACGGGGGACTCAAGCTAGCCATCAGGTATTAGAATACATAATGAATTTTAATCACGGGCTTTTCTTGAGGACTCTGCTATACTGTGTCCAATCCCCTCTGCCCTGACTCTTTACCTCACATTAGATGTGAGACAGATACATTTTGCATGTAGGTGGTGTTTTGATTTTTGGGGGTTTATTTTGTTTTTGCGTAATGTATTCTTGGGAACTCTTATATCTCTTTGGTATTTTAGACTATCTTGGAAAGCTTGAAGAAAGCTGTATTTGATTTACTCTAGGTTGTTTTGGGTAACTGCAAGTGAAACCGAAGTGTTGATTGCTTTTTGGCCCTTTCGTATAGCGCTTTGAAAATAATTAATTGATAACATGGGAAACAGCATTCCTAATTTACATAAGCAGTTACAGCATGGTGTGTGATGCAGGCTTCCCCACGTTCTTCTAATGTATCTCTAAAATTGCCAGTGGATTACTTTCATCTAAATCGAATAGAAACAGCTGAGTAATCTCACCCTAATAAATGATAGAACAGACCTCAGAACAAAGCTCCCTCTCTCTGTAACCTCCATCAAAAATCCAATTGTGATAAATAAGGTTATTTTATGTTTTTTTATCTTAAGGTTAATGCAAATTCTTAGGCAAAATGCCAGTCCCATTTCAAATATAGCTATTAGAAAATCCACAGTATACATGTATATCACAGACATCATTTAGCGAAACTATCTTTTCAGGCTTTCTTTGTTACAAAATAAAATGAAGTGTTATGTAACATCTGTTTCTATTTTGAGAATTTTTTCTTCAGGTTATGAAACTCTTTAACAGCCATTTAATTGAAGTCAGTATGTCTATCAAGCTTTCTGGTGTAATAGAACAGATCCTGACTTTATTTCTTTTTCTAATTAATTAGGCTAGTATATGCTACAGTAATTAAATATTTTGGTAGATTGCAAATGTTTACATCTAGGGAAAAACTATTGCACAGTGTTCACTTACAGAAACAGTTGAATACAGCTCTCAGCTTTTATCTTTTTGTATTTTTGAGGTAATTTTGCTGTAATAATACATGTTACAAATTACTTTACCCAGTGTCTTGCCCTATCTTGTGTAATAAAAATTCTTTACCTTTTACCCTGCATATGAAGAACCCACGCAGAGAGGCACCTTTAGGTTGCGTGCTTTGTAGATCCCACGTATAATTTCAAATCTCACCATTATGCTTAAAATAAAGGATTTTATTTTATTTTATTGCTGCAAAATGCATATCCAGCTTGCACTGAAGCTAGAAAATAGTGAAGTATGTTCCGTTAGTTTCCCATGAGGAAGTGCAGCATTGTGAATTGAATGCCTCTTTAGCTCACTTTGATTTTCTTGAAAGTCTTGAATAGAAGATACTGCAAATCAGGTTTATATAACTTTTCAGTCTCAGGTTTTCTGACATGCCTGTTTGCAGTTCTCATGCTTATATTGTTTTATTAAAAATTTAATCTTTTCAGATAAAGACTGTTTTCTAGCTGTGCAGGAGCTGTGCTAACAAAGTATTATGTGTTTTTTGACAAAGAAGTCGTGAAACAGTGTTGGATTGAAAGTGTCCAAGTTCAGGATGTTTTTTCTAAGATGGGATAGCAGTTGAGAGAACAAGTTTGGTAGTTGCTTTTGGCATATTTGTCTGTTGCTAAGAAGTATATTAAAAATTATCTCTTTCAACTAATATTTTTCATATGTAGGTTCTTAGAGATATACTTAAAGAAGTACAGAGTAACATGGTGCCACGCAGTATGCTTAAGGAGTGGGCTTTACATACATTCCCCAATGCTACGGATTACTGGACTTTTCGAAAGATGTTCACTATTCAGTTAGCCCTAATTGGCTTTGCAGAATTCATCTTTCATTTAAATAGACTCAACCCTGAAATGCTGCAGATTGCCCAGGTATGCTTTAGTTTGTTCTAGATGCATGCTGTCGTGTTTAATCAAATGGAAATTTGGACTATACTTTTGAAATGAGTCAAAACGGTAATTCGACATATATAATTAACAGTGCATCAGTAGGCTTTTCATTTATATGTGATTGCACATCATGTAGGTGGTAATTTAAACTGCGGTCCCTATGGACATCAACTCTACCTTCTGTGGTGAGAATTTAGAACTTTGTCGGTAAAATTGTTCTTGGATATTGGAACTGTTCATGTAAATGACTGATAAGTCTCTCCTTTTAGTCCTTCAAATATACTGCTTTGAATATATCTCTGTGTCAAACAGATTTAAAAAAAAAAAAATTAGAGCTTCATTTTATTAAAGGGGAATACTGTTCCCTTTTCGGCATTGCCATCATGTCAAGCCACAACTCCTATTAATAGTGATTTTTCTGTTTTAACCCAACATTTAAAATGAGGCTTGCCACCTTAGTAGGGCAAAGGTTGTATATATTAAAGTCTTAATGCTATTTTAATGCATGGAGGGCTATACTCTGTATAGCCAGTAAGATTCTTTAATCCCTCTAGGTAAGCATTCAGGTGCTTACCCAGAGTGAAGAATGCATAGAGAACACTCACACAGAGGTGGGATGCACAGAGATCTGTCTGCATGACTCCTTATAGAGCATGCTACAGAAGAATCTATTCCTTAAGCTTTGATACTACAATAATGTATATTTAGTAAGGGGTTTTGAGAGAAATACATACCTGACTTTGTGCGTGCCTTTAACTCTTTTGCTCAAAAACTGTTTGACTGAAAGCTTTTGGAGTACTATTTGTACTCTGAGTATTAACAGTAAACAAAAATCCAACTTCTTTTGGTTTCATGAATGCACATCTGTTCCTTTAATTACTTTTGTGCATCTTGCTTTTCAATCCAGGATACTGGCAAGCTGAATGTAGCTTACTTTCGCTTTGACATTAATGATGCTACTGGAGATTTGGATGCCAATCGTCCAGTTCCATTCCGGCTTACACCAAACATTTCTGAGTTTCTTACCACCATTGGGGTGTCTGGTCCGCTGACTGCCTCTATGATTGCAGTAGCTCGCTGCTTTGCACAGCCCAACTTTAAGGTTTGTATACCTTTTGAAAGGTTGTTTGCAGGCATGTTATATTTGGCAGTTTATGAACTGAACAGCACTTTCTTGGTTAAGGTAGAAACTGAACAGTCCATATTTGTTTTTGAATCTTACCCTAAGGTCATCGCAAAGGCCAGCTGAAATGTTTCCAATTTGCCTTTTTGGAAAGAATAGGAGGAGGATAGGTGTAATTCCACCCTTAATTTAATTTTTTTGTCCAAACATGTTAATTCAGTTAATTCAGATTGTTTCAGTGCCCTAGCCTCATAAATCCTTACAAATTCTGGCTGTGGTAAATAGTAAAATGATAAATGCAACATCATTTAGAATCTTCATAATAATCTGTGAATAGAAATAAGTCTTTGCCCTTTGTTAGCGGAATAGAATGCTAAAGATATATTGTTACTTTGATGAATTCTAGCTCTTAGCAGGGTGTAGTTTTCTAAAGAAATTGTCTAACTTCCTTTTAAATTCTAATGCTTTCCAAAAAAGAGGCATCTTGCACTTAGGCAAGCAATTTGCACCAGAAAGACATTGCACAGAATGTACTGTAGCTATGGTGTGAGCTAGTTACTTTTTAAAAGATGGAAAAGATCCTAAAGTGATTTTTTTTCTTTATCTATAATACAGAAAGCTGTGTTAGAATATTTTTTAATAATTCATCATCTTACCTTACAAAGCTGTATCTATGTGTGCAAATGAATTTGCAGACATAGCCTGTAATTTCAGCATCTGAATGATGTCTGCCCAATTGGACTTGCCACATAGATTTGGTGCGGCCCCACCTCAAGTACTGTTTGCAGTTTTGGGTGCCTCAATATAAGAAGGACATCAAGCTATTAGAGTGTGTGCAGGGGAGGGCAACCAAGATGGTGAAAGGTCTTGAGGGCAAGACTTATGAGAAACGGCTGAGGTTACTTGGTTTGTTCAGCTTGGAGAAGAGGAGGCTGAAGGGTGCCCTCATCGCAGTCCACGGCTTCCTTAAGGAAGGGGGAGGTGTTGATCTCGTCTCTCTGGTGACCAGTGATGGGACATGAGGAAATGGAATGAAGCTGTGTCAGGGGAAGTTCAGATTGGACATTATGAAAAGGTTCTTCGCTGAGAGGGTGGTCGGTCACTGGAACGGGCTCCCCAGGGAAGTGGTCACAGCACCAAGCCTGTCAGAGTTCAAGGAGCATATGGACAACACTCTTAGTCATGTGGTTTAGTTTCAGGTAGTCCTGTGAGGAGCAGGGGTTTGGACTCAATGATCCTTATGCATCCCTTCCAACTTGAGATATTCTGTGATTCTATGATTTCTTGAATATCAGAGCACAGGTGACCATTTATTCTTTTTGGAGTGAGGGATGCCCAGCTCAGTTCAGGCATGTGGCGATTATCGCTTTAGATTATCTATCTTTTGGACTGGAGAGGAATGCTTTTAACATTTTCTGCATTTATCTTTTCTACAAATGTCCACGAAATATATTTAATATGTGTTTGTATATGTTGGCCTAACACCTATATGTGGTATTAAATGTTTTATTTGTTACATGCAAACAGTGAATTTGACTCAGACTGGATACCTAAAAGTTTGGTTTAGAAGCTCAAGACTGTTGGAGTTGACAGATTAATGTCAGTAGCTCAACTCAGTCATGAGAAAAACCAGGAAACTATTTGTTTCAGGCATTTCTTTTTTGTCCGAGGATACAACTGGTCTATATATACACACATACGTATATACATATATATATTATATACATAGATATGTGTGTTGCAGTCAGCATTCTTTCCCTGTTTGGCAGAAAACGGTATTCCCTGAAAGCGTAATCATTGTGCAGAAAACCCCCAGCTTTGCAAAATACTCTTAATCTTTGCACGACTTCTGTGTTTGTGTGCATGTGCATGGGAAAAGTCATAAATTTAGCGGACTCATTTAAAAATAGAATATGCATGATTGTATTTGTGTATGAAGATCTTAATATATGTTGTAGTTTATGTGATTTTTCATTTCTGTAAGAGTCATTGTGTTGTGTTTTCATAATGAAAGCTTTTTATGAAAAGAAACACCTTGAGAGGAAACAGTTGGAAGCCACGCTCATCTTGAAAAGACTGGGATTGCAGTGCGGGACCAAAAGTGTCAAAATACCCCTGACTAAAATCTAGTTACAATTCTATAATCCCTGATGGTTCTTTGGATTAAATATAATAGTCTGATTTTTCTCCTTCATATAGGTTGATGGCATCCTAAAAACTGTGCTACGGGATGAAATAATTGCATGGCACAAAAAAACACAAGAGGATACTTCCTCTCCACTCTCAGCAGCTGGGCAACCCGAAAATATGGACAGCCAGCAGCTGGTTTCACTAGTTCAAAAAGCTGTTACTGCTATCATGACTCGACTTCATAATCTTGCTCAGTTTGAAGGAGGAGAAAGCAAAGTCAACACTCTGGTAGCAGCTGCAAATAGCTTGGATAATCTCTGTCGTATGGATCCTGCCTGGCACCCCTGGCTGTAACTTGAAATTTTCAATAGCTTTTTTTGCTGCTCTTTGTGGTGTGAGCCTTATACTGTGTTAAGAAAATGTGAAAAAAGCTTTCCAGCCCATGGCTTACCTGTCAAACTGCATTTTGTCAGTCTTCATTTTAATTGTATCTACAGTAATACAACAATTTTACTGTTTTTAATTTCATGAGGGGACATTTCCTTCTGTTTAAGAAAGGTTGTTTAATATGCAACAACAGCTTTCACCAATAGCTTAATATGAAGAGAGCAAACTTAAATAATGTACAGAAGAATCTTATTTTATGTTGAGGACTATGAAACTAGCACTGTTAGATTTAGGGTCTGCCACTCCTAATAATCTGCAGTATATAAATTTTGTATACAATAGTAATTATTAAAAAAAAGAAGACAGTATTCCCAGTTACTGAATTTTACTTTGAAATTTTACTTAATCACTGCCCCTTCATTATAGCAAATTGAAGGCACAAATAAATACTCTTCCTTTAAGTTTGCTTCAAAGTTACATGAGCAAAGTTGGTTTCTACAGAGAATTTTGTACCAAATGTATAGAGGTGACTTTTTGTTAGGAACTGAGAAAATGATGATCAAATTGTGCTAGCTTTTCTTGGAGCACAAGCTGTGTACAGTAAAAGTGTAAACCATTTAGAGTATTTGGTTTAGTTGTGGACAGTGTTGGGGTTGGAAGTTTATAAAAAGGATGGAAAAAGTCATCCTTTGATACAAGTGTTTGGCTGTAATAGATAAAAAAGTAAAATCTTATAAAGTTCTCTCTCTTTTTTTAATGTTTAGAATTGCAGTAGCTTCTTTAGAATGAATACGTTTCTTTGTAATTTAAGAAGAGATCAGTTTAATGTTTCACTCGTCTCTCTGTTGTGTTAGCATTTTTATAAAACTTTGGTGTTGAGAATGTTAAATTTGTACAGAGTGATTTTTTGAAAATAAATATTTTGTAAAACTCTCTGTGGTATTCATTTTATTTAGAATATTTTTAATATTATACTATGGACTAAATAGAAAAGACCCAGAAGGAGGTGTAATCTTTAATAAATGAAAACAGCCTGTATGTTAAAGGGTGATGACTGTATTAATGAGATGTGGATGTGATGTTCTCATGTATGGTGTTGAAGTTGTTTACAGAAGAGCTGCAAATAGGAAGTATATATGAGACAATAATTTCTTCATTCAGTGTACAGTCTTTTTTGCTAGCCAGTCAATTAATGTTTTCTAAAAGTCTTTCTATAAGGAGTCTATTTTGTGTCTGCAAGAAATTCAGCTTTTAAGTAATTGTTCAGAGGTCAAGTTTATGTCTGCAGATGAACTCTGTTAGGGGATTTCTGCTATTCCCACAGAAACAAAGATGATGATGATTGCTATAGCAATGGGTCTGGGGTTTTGGGGTTTTGTTTTTTGTTTTTTTAGTAAGCAGTCAACAGGTTCTCTAGAGACTTCAGAATAACAGGAGAGGAATAATTGAAGTTAATCACCACCATTGAGTAGTGTACTGTCTGTGAGACAAGGGGAATTTCTAAAAGCCGATATGATGACTTTTCCTGGGTGGGTGAGCTCACCTGCAAGTTAACAGATGAACACCATCTAACTCATTGGTTACCTACAGATCAAGGCTTGCGGTGGGTATGTACCTGAGTCATTATTTAAAAACAAAGCAACATGTGCTTTCCATAGGTCTCTTACAGAGTTGCAAAAAGACCTGTTCCTTTAATCTTTGCAGCCATTAGCAGAACCAGTCAACTGATACGGACTCGACTGTCAGCATTACGCAGGGGTACAGGTCCCTCTCTACTGTTTATCTTATGTGACAGTTCTGCTAACACCATGAGCAGCACTGAACCTGGCGCAAAGAGAGATGTGGCTGATGGACAGAAAGTGCTATGTATGTATATACAAATGTGTATATAAATACACACACAGAGAGAGTTTGCATCCATGACTGTAAGATGAAGTCAAAATTGTGAAGTTGATGAATTCAAACCCATTTGAAGGTTAAGTGTTAAATAGGTTTTTACTGTATGTTTGGCTGGGAGGCATCACTGTCATGTCAGACAGACCTCAGGTATCAGTTATTTGCTCAGTCTTCACTACTTTTCAGGTGGGATATTCCAATGTTGTACTAGGCATAAAGCCTTTGGTGGTTAGTACAGAATATTTTGCTATATGTTAGTTATGCATGAAATTACATAGGTACCAATTAAACACAGTATGTAGGATAATTACAGTTTTGCTAGGTTAATTTATGAATTTGCACCTGTTCTTTACTTTTGACTAGTGACAAGCTCATCTTGTATTAGAAATTAAGATACCTTGCACTCCAACTTAAACGCATTTTTTTCCCCTTGGGATATAATTATAGTATAGCAGGAAAAATAAAATGCAATTTTGAAAATGGAAATTAAGATATTGACTTGAAAAGGAAAGCTTTACCCTTAGCTTTTGTAAATGGAAAGTAAATGTGCAATAATGAATTTATGGGAAAATGTCATATTTTTAGAGAAAAAGCCTGGAAAATAAAGGAATATTCCATTTTTGTTATAAAATACAACACAACGTTAAGGAACAGTGATAAATTTAGCGTATTCTGTGTAGGAGTTGTAATATCTAATCCTAGAAGTTTTGGAATAAAAAGTGAATTGGCAGTACTTGTTCACTAGCTTAAACTGCAACTGCAGTATGCATTATATGTTTCTCTGAAATTAGTTCACTTAAGAGGATTTCCCATGCAAGCTTCTTTTCAGTTCTTTCCTAGGCGAGATGGACCAGAGCTTTTTCCAGCTGAATCACAACTGCCTTTCCCTGTAGTTGGTTTGAGGACCTTAGCAAGAGCAAAGGGACTCTCACCAAGCAAGTCATGACTTTCCTAGGTGTCTACCTACTTCTTCACTGGGTCCAGAAGAGTCAGTAGCAAATGAAGTCCAGCAGAAACAGATGGTAAGCGTTCAGTCCTCAAAAGTTTAAAAAAGAATGGTAGCCCACTGGTTGGCCCTGAACCATAGCCCTGTGATGACGGGTAAGGCAGGTCACTTTGTGGACTTGAGATGCAGGCATTTAGATCAAGGGGATCAAGCCTTTCTGCTTAATGTAGTTCTTACGTGGATCAAAGGATTTGCTGTGGGATTTGGCTGGGAGCAAGAGTTTTATTACTTCTCACCAGATACTTCTAGATTATGGTTCTGTTTCCTTGTATGATGAATAAAGCATGGTCCCTTTATTCCTGCATTTGGTTTCTGTGCTCCATATATATCGAATAGAGGATGATAGATTTAAGTCATGCTGTATGCCAGTATATACAAGTGGAAGCTCAAATACATGAGCGGTAAGGACTCTATAAGGATTTGGAAAACAAACATATCTTTTTTTTGGCAAAGACTTGCTTCCTTATCAAAATCATGTTGGCAAGAAGAATCTGAACTTTCTTCTTACGAAACATAACACTTCCTGCATGTGTCACAGCATGTTCTATGTGCAGTCATTCACAACTAAGCTTAGTGCTTTCATGACTTGAAGGGAATTGTTGGCTTCCTTGTATTGAAGATTGTAACGTTTGTAGCTGTGAAATAGGGCACATGCTGTATCAGAGGAGTTGCAGTATTTTTTCCTTAATCATTTGCATGTCTTAGATATGTCCGACTCTGGGAGATGACAGCATTCCCTGAAAGGAAATCATCAGATAATTCAGCCACTTTTCTGTTCATGAAGAAGATCATAATGGAAAAATGAGAATGTAAGTTAAAAGAGATAAACTTCCTTGGTTTTAGATTTGTGACATCTCTCTTGTTTATTCAACTATACTAAAAGAAGACTTGGGGTGAGGGACCAGTGCTAATAGGGAAAAGAGTTATATTAATGAGGTCCCTGATGGTGTGAATGTGCAAATGTTAATATTTGGCTCTCTTTCATGAGTATATGCTATGGATTTACCTTATTTTGTGAGAAGGCTTACACAGTCTTAACCCAGAGTTTTACCACTAGCTCCAAGGAGGTAAATCCTGAAAGCTTTTAGTTATACATGAGCATTCTTCAGAGTGTGGAGGAAATCTTCTGACATACCTTGTATGATCAGCAACTGTCCATTAGCAGGTAAGTGGTTTGACATAGTACAGTATATGAAGTTCCTGATTATCTTCAAGAACACGTGGCATGTATCTTAGCTGTGTTTAATTTTTTATGATTGTAGATAATGGTTCCCTCTGTCTCATTAGTTCAGATATATGCTCAATATGCATCTTGCTGAGCAGATACTTGAAAGTGAAATACATTAATTGTCAATTCACTCTAAGTGTTCCCTTTAAGGTTTCTTCCCTCAGGTTAGATATTACACAAAAAAGGCCCATATTATTACTCTGTAAAATCAAATGCTTGAGAATTAAGAGCGATCAAATTTAAAATTGGCTCTGAAATTATGTGCATTGGCATTATGCCATTCTTAAAATTCGTCCTGTTGTGTTTGGGTTTTTTTCCCCCTGTAGAGTCCTGGGTAGATTTGGCTGGATCTTCATGAGGGTAACCAGTGACAAGACCTTGACACCAAAGTTGTGCCAGCCATGTTTTAAGTCTGTATGAAATGCATAGAGATACACGTGTCAGTAGACTTAGGCACACATACCTGTGTTGGTGTGAAGTGGGCTTTATAGTAGATTGCTCGAGTGACAGAAATATTAGTTACTAAGAAGCAGATTTGGCATAAAGAGCAATAAACAAAAATGCGAGCTGTGGATTTTACATGGAGAATAAATAGTTGTTAGGTTTCTCAAATTATACTGTATTATTTCAGTCTCCTGATTTTTGTAATCATGTTTGGCTCCGTCTTTATTAGACAATGCTGCTGCAATTTAACCATTTATTATTGCATTCTGCTCTCAAAGTAGATGATCAGAATTCATTTGCTGAAGTGAATTATACTCCAAAACAAAATCATTTAACATTAGCTGGGTGTTTGAGTCCACCCTCTGAAGCTGGTATGCCGCTTTCCTCTCCTGTAATTGGGCTGTCCATGAATTGTCAGCTAAAAAGAGAGCGAGCGAGAGATTAGTTATTACTGGAAGATGACTCAAAGCATTTCAGCAGCAGACAATGAAAGCTCTGTTTCGTAATGGCAGTAGAATAAAGTTGCTTTTAAGGCTCTGATCTGTTTCAAATATGATGTATGAAATGTTCTTTTGTGGTGTAGAAACCTATTCAGGGAGAAGAATTCAAACTCACAGGAGCTTTTAATCAGCTCAGTGTGGGTGCATTTCACAGTTAAGAGGTT